ATGGTGGAAAACATTTCTTTATAAAAAATATAACAACACAACAATTAGCAAAGACTCTTAATTCACGTTTAACAGTTATGAGTTATACCGACACTCATGGAAATTGGGAAAACGAGAAATTGTGTGGAAACATGACGGCTGGAGGGTTTTCGCACAATTTCTCGTTTTCCCAATTTCCACAAGTGTCAATATAACTATATCAATATGTAAAAATATTTTATTATTTTTATAATATAGCACAAAGAAATATAAGAAAGAAATGTTCCATGTTGACATGGAGTTATATCAACATGGCTCTTAGCCAATCAGCGTTCAGAATTTATATAATATTATATAAATTATTATTATTTATTTATATTATTTATTAATTTAATTTAATGTTCATTCCCTTTGCTGTGCATCCATAAGTCCCTTTGTTTCTGTGCTTGGATATTGCTTTCTTATATGCATGTATATACATGCAGGAAGAGGTCTTGCATTGTCCCATCCCACATAACCACAATCCACCTATAAGCCACTGCACGAAGGTACCTAAAAAGGTCCCAAAAGAAATTTAATATGTGGGACTGATCATCCACGTTAAAAAAATGTAGTTGCTTTCAGTTCAAATTTGCAATTGCTCACTCAATCCTTCGGATTGATGAGGACAAATTGAGAAGAGGCGAGTCCTGTCAGGCAAAATTTCACTGTTTATATAATTTTAACCCATTTGGGTAAAGACTTCCATTCACGAAGTAGAGTGTATTGAGAAGCGTTGCATATTATTATATAATTTGAAAACATCCAGGACGCGACAGTTTTCAAAGTTGATGTTTATATGTCAATTCATTGTATTAAATGAAAATATTCTGGGGAATTGGATGAAAATTCGGGGGAATTGGTCTCTCGTTTTCCAGGTTTGCTCTATGTGTTGACTATGTCTTTGGCTGCTCGTAAAAAACTGACTCATTCATGGCATAAATTGAAGGTATACATACTATACACCTTTTCTCAATAAGATGGTTTATACACAATCATTTGCCAAAGTTTACAACAAAAATAAAAAAGAGCTGGTTTATACTTACTCGTTGTCCACACGAAACCTGTTTCGTTGTTTATATAACGTATACCACTTTTTGTAACTAACCGTGGTCCAATATATTTTAAGACCCGTTACCGCTTCATGGGTTATTGGCAAGTATTCCCAGTGTTCTGTTATACACAAAGCATCCTTTCCCTCGAACGTAAATTTCCCCAAACATTCGCCGATTTCTTTGCAGCAACGATATTCCCTGGCATTTGCAAGCAGCTCGACACTACAGTGTCCACATTGGCACCTTTTGTTTATAAAAAATATAAACAGAGTCAGAGTTCAGAAAGTCATTATTCCCCAAAATATTTTGAATTATTTTAATTTCGTTTTAATATAAGCCTATAAAGTGACAATTTAATTAATAATCAAGGCGACTTACCATGAATTTACTGGGATAATTCCGTCATATCTTTGGGCAATAGTAGCCGAAGGAATGCCATCTTCATCGTCTGTTTGCTCATCGCTTGAACGTTCGTCACTGGTGCTTGCTAATGGTTCATTAGAGTACGCTTGAACAACAGACGATTGTTCAAATACATCCTCACTATCTGATGAGTCTATTTGTGACTATTCGCCTTCATTTGCCGTGGAATACACAGAGGATTCCGAGTAAGAATCACTTTCTGCCATCTTGTTTATATGAACATAGACTCAAGAACACATGCCATGTCCATACGCCTACGTCATCACCACCAGCGCGCAAGTCAAAACTCGGTCCCAGTGTTTCGTAATTTTTTATCAAATTTCTGCTATTTAGCCAAGATTCACAAGCTTCTAACGCAAGTAGAATTTATCAGAATGATACCAAATTTTCCACAGTGATTTTAGAGTATTAAAGGTTTTACTTTGTGTTGAAACATTTAATTTTTTATTTCATGTCATAGACACTTTAAAGCCTCGTCTTTCTTGAGTCTTTGGCGCCACGATACAGTCCCTTTTTTATTTCTTTTATATGAAGATCTGGAGATTTTTCCAACCATTTGTTTATGTTAAAAAGCAAGGATTTAAGAGCGAAGAAGTTGACTTCTTTTCAAAAATAGTACTGTATTTCAGTTGAAAATTTTGATCACAATTTTGGCATGACAATGAGCACCAGCAATCACCAAATTATAACAGCACCAATACTTTATGTAGTACACGACAAAAGGTACTACGTAAATCACCAGAGGAGGGTGGAAGCTCTTCCCAGCATGCATTGCAACTCATTAATATTCACAATCATGATTGTTCTCAATGTTAGTTGGAAAAGTTGCGGATATTTATTTCGATATTTCGCTACGAAAAGTTCGTATTTTTGAAGGTAAGTTTTTATAATTGTTTTAAATATGAGTCAAATTAACGATTTTTGCTTTATTTGGTGTTTTAACAACGTTTAGTTATATGTTAATCGCAATTTGTATTGACCTGTTTTCCGGGTCAATGCACAAGTGTCAAAAGTGGCTTTCAAAACCGCTGGGGACAATTGGGTTTATAAATGAGTAAATTAAATAAAAGACACGCCATCGTATTCAGGAAGAGTTGTTCTTTCTATGAGAAGTTTAAAAAATGAATTGTCCCCATCAAACTGACCAGTAATCGCGGTTTGAAAATGGGGCATTTTCGGTATACTATGTCGCCCATCGCGGGAATAGTCGAGCGCATGGGAATTAGGCCATTGGAATGAAAGTCATAGATTTGCGTCCACCGCCCGCATGCCTCAAAAGCTACCGCCTAAAATTTTCATTATTTACAAAAAAATTCATTATTTTCACAAATAAAGCAAAACTCAATAAAATTAGCAATAAAATTGTGTATTGATTACAATAAAATGAACATATTGCAGTGTGTTTGTCCTCAGTATCCACATTCTATGAAATTCCAAATTATATTCACCGAAATGGCAAAATTGGCACACAGATCTTCAGTACTGCAACTGCGTGAGCTCGAGATATATGTAATTCCGTGGCGTAAACGGTAATTCGTGTTTTGATCTCTGTATTTACCACCCAAAAGGATGGTAAAAAAATAATGAATAATGAATAATGAAAAAAACCCGCATGTTTTTTCAAAATTATCCGGACGCAAATCTATGACTTTCATTCCCATGGCCTTATGGCGCGAGGAAAATTACTGTACGTCTGTGTACGAGTCATTATTTTTGTTTTATTTCGAAGCATGCGCATATATGTCGATCGTTGTTGAGTTTAACTGCTGCATTTAAGTTAAATACACTGTATTTTACCATTATTTTTATAGAATTCGAATATATTTTGTGAAAATGGAATCTGATAATGATGGCAATGTTGTTTATATTGTTGATCCTATAAAGTATGGGAAAAGTTGAACTTATGAATTTAATGCTGATTTAGAACTGTTATTGAGCAAATTGTTCCTACATCCTGCTTTGGCAAATGGTATAACATCTAATCCAGCCAAGTTGTGTTCATGATCCATTCAACTGATTCAAGCAATGAAACTATTGAACCAGAATAATAAGAGCAACCTGTTATATAAATTTGCCCATACCAGCCTTTTAATAGATACATATTTTAGTAGACATTTTAATTGTAAATATTGGTGTATTGGTGACATGAAAATGTTGCAATGAATCTTAAGTTTTTTTTGTATTTTTCCGGTCTGAATTCATTTTAATTTCGCTTATTTCTTTATTACTAACTTCAACAAAACAGCTAGCCGCCATTTTGAAAATTTCGATTTTGTTATAATATAACAGATTAATACGTCAAATTTGACCAATCACCTTGTAGCATTTGTTATGTTCACTTGTGCAAAAATACTAATATCAAATATTTACCTGAAATAATAACAGTGTTTTAATAGGAATAAATTTATATGAAAATCTCAACTAAAAATGTCTTGCTCATGTTCTTGATCATCTATACATGATTATCACAAGTTGCATGGTATCTTTGTTCTCGCCAAGAACCAGCTCAGAGGAACCAGCTACAACAAAATTCTCAGAATACAAAGTGTCCTCCACAATCCTTGTCTTAATTCTCAGGATACAATGTGTCTCCTCCACAATCCTTGTCCTTCAGAATCCTTGTCTCCATCATTCTCCTAATCAGAGCTTGAATCATTCATGTATTTAGCATCACAAGTAGCCTGTTACACACCCAACAATTGGGTCAACTGCTGAATTTCATCAATCGTGTCCATGTCTGCAACACCACCTTCTGCACCAATACTTTCAACATCACCAGGCATCTCTTCACCATGAATTTTAACCAAACACATAGGATTTAATGGCTGTTTAATGCAATTGCATAACAATGGCTCATCTAAATTCACCAGTGGTAGGTCATTCAGTATATCCTCTAAAATATCCAGTTTGGGTGCATGGTCAGATTGTTACAGAAGTTGGTGATGGAATAATGTTAAACTCCCACAACAGAACACAACATAAGTACTACAGGTAAAAAAAGATTTGATGCATTTATACAGGGACGTTGGAACAATAAAAAGGCAAGGGCACCTTTATAATTATGTGTCGACTTGCCAATGAAAGCCTGATTGTGCATGTTCCATTGACAATAGCTGTTCTGTGTTCTGGAAATAAGGTCTACTCAAGGAACTATAACTGCACAAACACACTTAATCAGGTCACATTCAAGTTCACACCTTATGACTTTGCCCAAAACTGGAGATAAGATTTAGCAGGCAGAATTTCTATAACACAAAGTGCACTTCTGCCCCCCTTGCCCCTCCTCCCTACTTTTATATATATAGGAATTATAATCATGAAGATCTATGCAATAATCTTCGACAATCCAGTTTTGATTCAGTGTTCGCTTCAAAAACAGTTGAATCAGCATGGGAAAATTTTAAACACATTTTTCTTTCTGCTGTTGACAAATATGCCCCACTAATTAGAAAGAAAATCCGTGGTCGCCCTTGTCCATGGTTACGAAATGAAACGAAGCGTGAAATGGCCGAACGAGATTGGCTGTTAAAGAAAGCTAGGAAATCAAATGCTGAGAATGATTGGAGTAAATATAAAAGAAAACGAAATCGTGTAAACAATCTAGTCAAGATGAATAAAAACCGCTATTACAAAGATTTACTGAAGGAGAATTCCAGAAATCCAAAAAAGTTTTGGAGTACCATACAAGAAATTTTTCCTAATAAGTCGGCAAAGTGTACTGGACGATCATTTCATGCTGATGGCAAACTAATTACGCATAGTAATTGTATAGCAAATGCATTTGGGTCATTCTTATCGACTGTCGTAGACAACCTAAAACGAAAATCGCGTCCTCTGAAAGACTTTGTTTGGGGTCATCGGCATGTACCCATTACCCAAACTAACATGAGCTTTCAGTTTATACCAGTCACTGAACACCACATAGAAAAGAAATTGAATCAATTAAAACGATCAAAAGCTGCTGGTATTGATAATATCCCTCCTGGAATACTTAAGGACTGTTCGACTGTTGTGAAGGATCCTCTGGCACATATAATAAATATGAGCTTATGTACTGGAGTAATACCTTCCGAATGGAAAGTGGCTAAAGTTATCCCAGTTCACAAAAAAGGGCCCCTCAATGATTTTGACAATTACCGTCCTATATCCATATTACCGGCTGTCACAAAAGTCATGGAACGAATAGTGCATGATCAACTGATGAATTTTTTAGAGACCAATCATTTGATAAACGATTCTCAATTTGGATTTCGACCAAAACGATCAACGCAATTAGCTGTGACACTATTGTTGGATAAAGTTCGAGCGAATATGGATAGGGGACTACTAACAGGAATGGTCTTCGTTGATCTATCCAAAGCCTTCGACACTGTGTCCCACTCTAATCTGCTAAATAAATTAACAAGATTTGGTATTTTATCATATGAGCTGGAATGGTTTACCAATTACTTGTTTAATCGATCTCAATGTGTTAGCTTCGATGGTTCATTATCAGAGAAATTCAAAGTTACATCAGGAGTACCCCAAGGGTCTATCTTGGGGCCTCTTTTATTCATATTGTACATTAATGATATCGACGACCATCTCATTAGTGCACAAATCATAAAGTATGCTGATGACACAGTTCTGTTCCTGGCTGGGCAAGATGTTTCTGAAATTGAAAATCAACTTACAAGTGAAATGCAAGTTGTTGCTAAATGGTTAGATGAGAACGATCTAATCATAAATCTCAACAAAGGAAAAACTGAGTCTATGTTACTGGGAACTAGTCGAAGAATACAAAAGAACCCCATAAGAGTATATCTAAACGATAAACTGATCAATTTCACAACCAAATATAGATATCTTGGAGTATTGGTGGACCAGAATGTAAACCTGAAAGAACATTTTGGTCAGGCTTTTAGGAAAGCATCTGGCAGGTTAAGGTTGCTTAAGAAAATACGATCTTCTCTAACTATGGACGCTGCTGAATCTATATACAAATGCATGATAATGCCACTACTAACATATTCCAGTGTTGTTACTCTAAACTTGAATGCCACCCAAACTTCACGAATTGAAAATCTCCAGGATCGAGCTTCTAGAGTAATAAAATCAAGTGAATCGGCAGATCTAAGACTACCTGACCTGATGAGCTTTGCAAAGCTGCAAACGTGTTTCCTGGTGAAACAATGCATGGACAGGAATGTGTGTAGTAACTTTCACAATTATTTTGAACGGTTACAACATGTAAAGAACACAAGGAACAACGGAATAAGTGTCAGGATTCCCAAAATACGCTTGGAATCCACAAAGCATGCCTTTTATTATAATGGAGCAATTGAATTCAACAAATTGCCCAAAGATATTAGAGAAATTGACAGTTTTATGCTTTTTAAACGAAAACTGAAAGAGAACCTTAGTCCATTATAATACTTTTCAGAATTGACTGCAGTTAGATTTTTAATATTTTTAATATATTGACTTTTTATACTCATAATTTTAGTAGTTTTAGGTAAACAGGACATGCGTTGATAGCAGTGAATAGTCACTGAAGCATTTTTTATCCTGTGTAAATATTTTTTTAATAATAATAATAATATATCATCGTAGGAACAGTGTACCATCCACCAAGTGCAAGCGATTCTGAAATGTTGAACTATCTTATAAATTGCCTCTCATCAATTGAAGCCCAGAACCCTAACAGTGGAATCCTTCTACTCGGAGACTTCAACAAATTGAAAGTCACAAAATTGAAATCTAGTTTCAAATTAAAACAAATCATCACTTCCCAACAAGAGGTTCATATACATTAGATCTTATTTTGACTAATTTACACAAGTTCTATAACAGCCAAGTTCAGCGTCCCTCTTTTGGTCTATCCGATCATATGACTATTGATCTTCAACAAAAATAAAAAAATTCGTTCTCAACAACCGAAGCAGCGATTAACAATTAAATCAAGGGACTTGCGTCCAAGTAATCGTTTGGCTATCCACACATACTTTCAAGAAATAGATGTTGCTGCCCTAGTTAAAACCAAAGATACGTGCGCTGAAAAATTAGAGATTTTTCAATCAATCCTAAAGAACGGTTCAGACCAAGTAGTTACCCTACGAACTAGAACTATCCACCTAAATGAGCCCCCATGGATTAATTCAACCTTTAAAAAATTAATCAAGCAACGCCAGCGAGCCCTTAGTCAAGGGAACTTAATTGAATTTCGACGCCTAAGAAATTGTGTGAATTGAGAAAGAAAAATCTGCCGATCAAAGTACCATGAGGCAAAAGTTGAACATTGAAAAGACTGTAAACCAGCAAAGTGGTGGAAAGAAATTAAAAAGTTAAGCAGCATGTCTTCTGCATCTGGAAGACAAATTGATGTAATGAACTCTCTCCGATTCATAGAAGAGGTCTCAAGCACATCTGACCTAGCTAATAGAGTTAATGATGCTTTTATTCTTCCGATGAAGATTTTCCCACCTCTTCCACACGATTTTCAACTCGAACAAGATATTCCTTCATCCACACCATTTGTTTTATCCGTTCACTCTGTTTTTATGAAGTTATCGTTGTTGAATCCAACAAAAGCTCAAGGTCCAGATGGCCTCCCGGTTTGGCTACTGAAGGAGAATGCAGACCTTCTCGCAGAACCCATAGCAGAAATTATAAACAGCTCCTTCCGCGAAAATAGGTTACCACCATCATGGAAAGAAGCGGATATAGTTCCAATACCGAAACAAAGAATAGTAAAAGACGTCAGAAAACACTTAAGACCAATATCCCTCACGGCAATACTTTCTAAAGTTGCTGAGGAGTTCATCATACAAGAATATGTCAAACCGTCGGTTTTAAAAAAGATTAAAAGTAACCAATTTGGCTCAATTCCAAAATCATCGACAACTCAAGCTTTGATCAGCATGATACACACATGGAGCAAGAATACGGATAGCCTGCTCGCAGGCCGTTGTCAGGCAGAGGCTGCATGGGAGGAACGGCCTGCGACCTTTATTAGTAAAAAGTCGATTTATGCGTACGGAGCGTACGCAAAATTCCCATTGGTCAGAAGTGCCCCATGAGTTAATATCGTGCAAATATTTAACTCGTACGACATTTCGCAATGTAATTTTAAAGCTGGCATTCAATCAGTGGCGTATAAAACCATGACTTTGTTTATCTCTTCGAAGAAGTAACTGAATGTATTTGAGAAACCTTTCAATTTAAATTAACGTTGAAGGATGAGCGAAGGTTAGCAATATTAACTGTACTTCCAACGGGATTTGATAAAAGTTTACATGTAATATACCGATACTTTGTCTTCGTCAGCTATAATAATAAACCTTTTCCAAAGAAGTACAAGGGAAAACTTCGACGTATGCCTTGCTGATCTTTGCAGAGAGAGTAAAATAAGTCTAGTTCAGGCTGACAATTTATCTAACCGCGTTTGCATCACTTGCGGTTTCAAACGTTGAACAACTTAAGGTTAGCCCAGCGAGACGTTCGTTGAGACACAGGCAGTGAATCAGCTAGTATAAAGCAGTTGATTGTCAAATGCCTCCGAACATTTCTCCCAAATACTTCCCTGTCAACCCAAGGCTTTCTGCCTAAACAATCTGGTCTTGAATAAGTCAAGACAATGGGCAAATTATTAAAACAGACGCCGTCGAGGAAAGTCGTTCTTAGAACACCTGGCCAATTTGAATTTACACCTGGAAATTTTGCAATAGTCGTTTGCGTGTTTTTTGACCGAAGTCCGCTCTCTCTTTGAGACTTTATTTTTGGGAGTCTCAACTAGTGACATATATTATTACAACAAGAGCTTTTTACAAAAAAATGTAGTTATTAAACACGGCAGAATCGATGCCACGGCCACGGGTTTTCAAATTGTCTATTGTCTATTGAGTTAATTGTATTATTGAGCAAATGACAGACTTCACGCAATAATGATTAATGTTGTTTTTTAGCCTGCTATTGTTCGACACTTTTAATAAATAGTGTTTGTTACTTTGTTCAAAACCTAAATACGTTTCCTTAAATCTTACAGTTATATTTTGGATATAAATATATAAAATACATTAACTAATAGAGAGTAAAATTTTACGTCTCTGTAGTATAGTTACATAATTTAAAACGGCAATGTACGAACAAGACAGCAATATACAAACGGGACTATGTTTTAAATATTAGAACACTTTAGGGAAAAAACGACCATGAATTATTTTAGATTAAAGTTTAGACCTTGGAATCCTAGTGAAAGATACAGGCGTAAAATTGCGCGAGAAACTGTTTGTTGTTGTTAATAACCTCTGGTAATCTAATTAACAAAACTTGCTTTGATTGGCTACTATTTACCGGATATTCAATTATCTCAAAGGGGGCGTATTGAAAAAATATCAATAAAAGTCGCAGACTCTATATAATAGAGCCTGTGAGCAGGCTAGAATACGGACGGAACTGGCTCTACGGTCAGAGTGGTTGTTTTCGATTTCAGGAAAGCTTTCGACCTAATCGATCACAATATATTGGTTCGAAAACTAAAAGATCTAAATATCCCCCATAATATCGTCAGTTGGATCGTTGATTTCCTGAAATGCCGCAAACAAAGGGTAAAATTGTCACAGGACTGTAAATCGGAATGGAAAAATGTGCCGGCAGGAGTTCCCCTAGGAACAAAGTTAGGGCCTTGTTTGTTCGTGTTGATGATTGACGATATAGACACCACCAATACCGACTTGTGGAAATATGTGGACGATACCACAGCCGCTGAGATTGTAGAAAAAGGAGAGACAAGTAAGATACAGAATATAGTAAATGAACTATAACGGAAAAAACGTATAGGAACAAATTCCAGTGTAATGAGAAGAAATGCAAAGAGCTTCGAATTTCTTTTACAAAAAATCACCCTGAATACGTACCTATTGTTATCAATGATAAACCAATAGAAATTGTGACTACCATTAAATTACTGGGTCTGAACATTTCCAATAATCTTAAATGGAACCATCATATAGAGGAAATTTTTAAAAAAGCTTCCACCCGGTTGTATTTCCTGAGGCAACTAAAACGTGCCAAAGTTGCCGAAAAGGAACTTTTAACTTCCTACAAGACTTGTATTCGTCCTATAACCGAATACGCCTGTCCTGTCTTCCACAACGGATTACCCACGTATTTGTCAGATGAATTAGAACGTACCCAAAAACGCGCAAAGCAAATCATATTTCCAAACATTAATTATCAGGACGCACTGAAGAACAGTAACTTATTTTCTTCATACGAAAGAAGAGAATATACCTAACGAATAAACTCTTTGAAGAAATATGTTCTGATCCTAACCATAAACTGCATTATCAGGTGCCGAACCTAAACGAAACTGATATTGGACTAAGGAACAGACGTATGTTTAACTTTCCTCTGTGTAAAACAAACAGACTAAAAAATTGTTTTATATTTAGTAATTCAAGTAGGAAAACTTTTTAATCCTAGTTTATATATATATACTTATTCGATATTACATGTAAAATTAGTTTATCACTATTTTAATCACTTTTAACTTTTATTTTATATAAATTTATATACAATTCAGCCATTTTGGCTGCAATGATATATCTTAATAAACTATCTATCTATCTACCTGGGTTAATAGTGCTCGGTCAATTGTTCGGTTGGCGATATTTCGCGAGTGGTCTACGAGAGTGGTCCGTAGTCCACAAGTGTAGTCCACGGACCAGGTCCGCGAAGGTAGTCCGCGTTTTGTCGTTTTCCCGTGCATTGCTCTTCGAACAGATATACAATGAGAAATCAACGATTTGCAACTGTTCAGTTCTTAGTAAACCCAAATTCACAGTACTCTTTCAAAAATATACGCTTTTATTGAAAGTGTATAAATAATGCGCCACAGGCTGTTCTATAATTTATGCGTATTTTGGCATATATTATTATTCTAGCCAATAGGATATTCACGTCCTCTCACGGCCGCGAAATACCAAATTTCCTTGAGATTGTTGCAGGTTCATTATTCAATTAGGCTCATTCAAGCTCATCATTAATAACATACTGTACCTAACAATCGATCATTTTGTAATTAAAAAAGAATTTTGAAGGAGTTATTTGAAATTTAAAAAAATATAGGGAATATGATTATGTAATTTCATGTTTCCCTGAGAAAAACTTCATCTCTGGAAAATAGATGAAGTGGTTTTATAGGCCTGTCAAGGATAGGGGATTCTGCATGCATGTCTAGTGTGGTATTATAATCCACAATATTTTCAGATCTACACAAGAACAGCGTGTTTTGCCGCTTTTTGAGTCCAACGCTTACATTGAGTTGTTCTGTTTTCATTTAATGAAATTAGCTTTTATAATTTAGTTCATCGTCTTTCGCCTTTCTCAAAAATACTTTTTGTAGCTTTTTAATGGTATTTTTTGTGGAGTTGGGAAAATTTTTTGCTTTTTGCGTGTCCTGTCCGCTGCTTTTGCTCCTCGTTTTTCGTCTCTTGTTTCTTGCTTTTTAATACATTTTAGATATAAAAGTCTATATAAGTTTTTGCCAAGAAAGCGGAAACAGAGCAAGGAAAACCAAAAAATCCAGACAGTGCATTATTACGATATAACGCGCGCATATTAGCCAATCAAATTTCGTGTTACATCCCACATACATATATTATAATTATTATCAGTGATGTCGTTAATAACTCGGCATTAATTTATACCTTTTTTCTTGTCCAGTATTAGCAAAGGAGGTAAACGCAGTTACCCCATCAAAACCTGCAGGATTTAGCCTCATCGTATACGACAGAGGCGAAATTATATTCTGGCAGACAACGGCATTAATACGGAAATTAAACTTTTGGGGTCGCGTCAAGGCACATGCAATCTACGGCTATTATGTATTAATTACGAATTATCGGCAAGTAGCTTCCTAAATGCAAGCAGTAGTCATAATACATGCAGGTACTGTACTAAATTTAAAATCCAACCTTTCATTGCTTTAACTGCAACTTGGGTTACTTCTTTACAAAAGACATAGCTGTTTCTTTTCATTGTGCGATTGAAGAATGAAAACCGTCGTCCACCCTCTCTTTCTCTCAACATGTCTCTTGGATGAAATGCAGATATACCAATTGCTTCTGCTAACCAAACAATTCCAAATTGTCCAGAGCCAAGTTCCCGGGCTGAAAAATAATTTAAATTATTTTGTAACCTATTTCGAAAATGACTTTCGTTGTGACTAACTACAGGCAATGTGCTGAGACTAAACTGTTGGGAGAAAGGAAAAACGTCAACCTTATTATAGAAAGAACACTGCTTTCAGTTATATCATAGACAATCAAAGGAACAATAATAACTTCCTTTGATTGTCTATGGTTTTATATTGCCATTTTTTATAGTTCGTATAGGAGTAAAAAAAATACTTGTGCATCAGTGAAAAAAATCACCATTCAAATCACCTATTCGTTATTGTTTCGTTGATCAATATCAATGGCAAACGCTGCTTATATACAAGGTAAGCTTGAAGCGCTCAAAACTACTACTGGTTATATGAAAATGATTTGCTTTTTTCTAGAAATGTCAGATTATAAGGATATTAACAGTTTATGTTAAATTACAGAGCGTATAGTTTATGTTTAATTTTGCATAATTAAAAATATTGCCTCATTTTAAATATATTTTAATGCGAATTACACCCACGTGGATGCTTTCTCTTCGTCCATTATTGTACAAAAAGAAATTACATACCAAAGCTAATTCTTTCTCTTGGAAATTCCCATTCTGGTATAAACGGCAGTTTCTGAAGCTGTTCTTGAATATTTCCATTTCTATCTAAGATCTCCATATAGTCAGGTAAAGGAGGATATGAAAACAGGTAAAACCCGCCGTAAATTTTCTTTCTTCTGTACAACACAAAACCTGCCACAACCACAATTATCATGGACGTCAATCCAGTTGGAACGACAATCGAGATCAGCGTCCGTATCTGGTCAGATAAAGTGGGAGCACCTTTTTGGAAACAAATTTACTATTCTTAATAAATCTTCGCTTAGTTGCTACACCACATGCTGTGTCGCAATTAAATTTGTTTTTGGTATGGGGCAAACACTGCGGAATTGCGGCAAACACTTGAAACCTAATCTTGTCAACAGTCATCTTAACTGAGGATGCGTAGATAGTATACATATGCTGACAACATATAGATAATTAGAAAAGTTTTATTTTACTGGAAGAAACTCAAAAATACACATTAAAACAAAAAGCTACGGTCAACAGTAATATTTTTTCCATTTTGTACAAAAAATATATTTTAGAAAATGATACTTGTTGCTATGGAAACATTTTCTATGGAAACACTATGAAAACGCTAATCATCGTTTAGTGTTGGCTAACCATGCATTTATTTTTGGCATGGTTATTTAGATGGAGGTAATTGGAGAACGATCTTTGACAATAGTAATGAATGATTTATGTGTTAATAACCAAACCACGCGAGTAGGGCGAGAAGCCTGAGGCTAGTGTGATAATTCCCATCCGCTTTTTTATCAAGGTAAAAAAAACACGTGCATTGAAAAGTACTCCCACTCATTGCAGGCGCACCCTTATGCTTCATGGTAGGTTGGTGGTAGCGAAATGAACCTAACGGCATGGAACGCTAACTTCAGATTAATACTAGAAAATACATTCATGGAGAAACCCTCGCCTTGCAGACAAAACCATTGTATTTTCCGGACATAAAGTATTTAAAATAGTTGTCATGGTGACACGATAATTATATTTAGAATAGTTTTACAAGTGAAAATCCCCTAAAAATTCTATCAATTTCAAAATTATCAATTTTCCAACATATGTATGTTAGGTATGTTATTATACGTAATATAAGCTTCAATTTTATAGTAAAATTCAACCACAAACGCTTCGCAAAACGTTTTAGAATGTTCTTTACAAAACTAAACTGCCTTTATCGATAAACTAAACTGCCTTTCGTGAATGCAAATACCTTTGCTAATTTTTTTTTTATATAATAAAAAAGGGTAATCAATAAAGATACATTGAAATCATATGCTGTCTTTTTTCATTTCAAATATACGCGACAATCAGCTTGTAAAGCAATTATAAAGCAAATAATGCATCTGATTCAATATTTAAAACAAACTTACCTTCGTTAACGTCGGTGCCTTTGCTCCCTTCTTTTAGCAATTCTTTTGCCTTTTTTTCTCCAAAAGCTTTTGAAATGTGCAAAATCTTGCAAAAATGAAACACATTTGCAAGACGTCATCAAACCAAGAAATGTTTGCTATTTCGCTGTCGTCATGCGGTCGTTATAATGCACATTTTAAATTGAACCTATCAGTGTTCACTATTTATGACAGTCCGCGCTATATTTGGAGATCAGTGAGGATGACCACCCACGCACGGTAACACACGCCCGCGATTAATGATGAACTTTGGGCTTCGGTAATGCTTTCCTTTCCCCGGGGATAAATATCCAGGCGGAACTAGCACCCTCGCCCCGGGCTTACGCCCGGAACGGCGCTCAGCAAAATATAGGCGAGGGGTTGTTGCGATCACGTGTTTCTAGTCATAAATATACAATTCGTAATCTGCCTGTTGCTTCATATATATTCTGACGACGGTATGTATAATTCAATCTATAATTACAAATTGTGAGATTTGGGTACACTTACTATCACTGGCATTTTCTACGGGTTTAAACACAACAATGATTTTAGATGCACTGCCAGCAGCGTTCTTGGCTTTGCACTTATACTTCATATCAGGTTTTAATTGATTATCAAGTTGTAACGTAGGTGCTTTTTTGATGAATTTCCAACTTTTCTCGCTACAGATGGGAGTGTAACATGAATACCAGGTGTATTTTACTTCTGGAGGATTCGCTCTCTTTATTGCACAGTCAATTACCGTCCCTTTCTGGAATTTATATGTCTTATCCATATTAATCTCAGGTTTCACTGTATATAATTTAATATAAAACAACAATTATATTATGCAATAAAATATTACACCAATCATGGTCTGTCAAGATGATGGTCTGGAAACCCGGCAATCTTCAAAGCCAGAAAATAGAAGGCCTTTGTTTGATGTTGAATTGTTACCTCACCATAAACCAATCCTTTGTCTTAACTTCATTAAATATTATTCATCGTTGTTGCACGTTTCATCTCAACTATCCCTATTCGACGATTAATTAAATATACAGAAATACAAACAGCTCATTCACGGTGACCGTGCACAAATTAACATAAAATCAAACAAAAATATAATAGAATAACTTCTGTTTAGTTTCCAGACCATCGTATCTTGATAGACTATGATTTCAATCGTTCTGACTGGCTCTCTCAGCAGTAAGTCTGAAGCAATAATTACTGCTCAGACTGCCGAAAATCCACTTGCAAAAAGAAATTTAAAAAATTGAAGAAATTAAAGGCACATACTATTCCGCGTAGAAAGTGTAACATTGTTAACCATTTATGGCACTACCACGCGGCTGATCATTTATTTTTTAAATGTATTCTTTTTGTTTAGTGGTGTAACAATCCTATAAAATGTGAAAACATCCAGTGGATTGGAATGTTTCTCCCCAACCAGAGAACGCAGAAAGTTTTGAATTGTAACACGATTTTGTGCAACAGTGATTATATATATATATATATATATATATATATATATATATATATATATATATATATATATATATATATATATATATCAT